TTGGCTCGAGTGACCGATGCTGTTCGTCTCGTCCATACATTCACACATACTCATATCGCTAATTCCATCCTAGCAGAGTCCAGTGCGGATATGCACCTAAGCAGGGGTGTCGGGAGTTGCGTGGGATAGACTTGATTAGGACGCTCGTGTCGGTTTTGTGATGCTACTGATGAACCGCGTTGCAATTGGCTTCGAAGAGGCAAAGATCGGAGCTTCTCACGGCAACACTACTCAAAGCTTACACGAATGTCTCTACCTTCACTCGCGTTGTTCATTCGCGGTAAGACGCGTCGTGATGGTCGTCTGTCATGTCTGGCCTGGCAGAGAGATCTATCCGCATGCGACCGGCTCCGAGCTACGACCCGTACACTCGCACCGTTGGCGCTCGGGGTGAGAGATAAAAGTTGACTTCCCAAACATAAGCCAGTGCCACACCGAGATATCTGTACCGTTACCGAGTGCTAGAATGCCGAGATGGCTAGAAAGGCGAAGCGCCGGCATGTGTCGGTGTTTCAACCTCGAGGGTGACGTGAGAGCATGTCCAATTTCCTAGCCGTGCCTTCAGAAAAAATGATAGAGCCCAGATGAGATGTAGTGCAGGACATCGATCAGTGCGTAGCATGAACATGGTAATTGGCAGAAGAAGCAAAGGAGTAACGTTGCGTCTCGCGGCAGCCGCGGGTGTAGTCGGCGCAACTTGCTCCACGCGACCACGACGACCGCCCTGCAGCGACTTAGCTCATGCGCACGATCCACCAATTCGCATCCCCGCCAGTCAGACACCGTTGATGTTCTGCTGGAACATACAATGCCTCTCAAGGTATTGGGCGCCTACGGTCCCGACACACTCGCAAGACAATTGCCGATTTCCACCAGGCGCCGGATAAACTTCAAGCCTCTGGCCACTGGCGTTGTACTTCGTTGCCGCTCTTTCCCGCCGTCTCGATCGCGACGCGCGAAGATTAGATCAACTGTCCGGGAATATCTGTCGCTGGAGGGCTTGGTGTGAAAAGGCACCCTTCTACGTAGACTGATACTGCGGTTATTGCTTGATCTGGACGTGAAATTTCTCGAGGTCCCAGATCGCGCGCAAGTCCTCTACGAGTGATTTGGGCTATCCGACCTCCAAATTGGTGCCACGCTGGTCTTCGAGCTTCTTACCGCAGTCGTAGCGCCATGCCCGGATGAAACGAATCACCTGTGCACCGCATGCAAGTCCGCACCATATCGACACGCCCTCCCTGGAATTTCGCCGTATGAAATAGCTCAGGCTTAGGCTGAGCAATACAGGAACCGCTGGCGGGACAGGATATATAACGTGGATTGCTCTGTTCGCCAGTCGGGGCCTACTTTCCCAACGCGATTCACCCAGTCGACCAGCGCTCAGACCGAACCGACGACCATGTTCATCCATCGCTCTGCTGTCATGCTCCTTGCGGCCTTCGTTCTTGTTGCCAACGCCCTACCTTCCGGACTGGGATACTCCGTCCGTCGTGGAAGCGAAGAACTTTCAGATGATGATTACATCTTGTGTACGTGTGAACTTGGCGCTCGCTATTCAATTGTACTGACGCGGCCCTGACAGCGTCAGAGGGAGATATTGCCGGACATTAGGGACGTGCCATATTTGGCGAGCAGCCACCAAGTGCCCGTAAGTTTTCTGGACTACTTTGAGCCTCCGCAATGGCCATCTGAGACTGAAGATCGGACAGGCTTTGCCAGCTACGGTCATCGCTATGCTATTCATGGGAGACGTCGGGGAGGATTCCAAGCAAGTCACCGGATATTAGAGTTTCTACCACAGGTTCAGACCTAATCAACGCTGTACTGGGAGCTTACTATACTCAGTCCTTTATAAGTGATACTATATCTTGATGATGCATCTGGACAAATCCCTGCGGATAGACCTGACGCCTGAGATCTGAGAGACCGTTCACTTGCCCTTCCAGGCGTTTCCATTGGCTCAGCTTCGAACCGGGCGTGTGCTCGCGGACGACTTTCTCACATGATCCACGATGCCAGGAGGGGCGGCTAATATCATGTTGCGTCTTCTCTACTGGCACTTCACAGCGTAGGAAGCGGATACCCTTTCGTGCGATCATGATCACCGCGTCTCTTGAGGAGTCTCTACTTGTGCAGTATATATAGCACGAGAGACGTGCATCTGTACGGCGACTATTCCAAGCAGCTCGTCCAGGATCTTACCCTCTGACGATGTTCATTCAGCGTTCACTCTTCATGTTGCTTGCGACGTTGGCTCTTGCCGCTACATCCCTCCCTGCTGGCACGGGATACGAAGTTAGTGAACTGGACGACGATTTCGTACTTGGTAAGTGTGTATCGCCGTATGTGGTCCTAGATTATTCACTGCGACAAACAGATTCAGAAGGCGCGCTCAGTGGACATCGAGCGTCCAGTTTCAACTGAGGTCGTCGTAAGAAGGTATGTTTATTTGCCGTCATTTGATCGTGTCTGGACATAAGCTGACTAGTAATAGCGACGAATGCTGCGACAGTATTTCGCTGTAACTGACGCAAGAGGCCAGAGTGTGAGAGGGGCCACATTGTAGTATTAGTAGCGCCCTTCACGCGCCGTCTACAAGCCTGATCTACGAATCTGCCCATGTTTCTCATACCGCAGAAGAGCAATGGCCCGGTGATGTACATCGAGGACGAGCCTGTGAAGATATCAAGCGGGTATGATGAGTGTACAAGATAGAAGCGAAGAAGAGCTGTAACCTCGGGTACAACCCGGCTATAGCCGGTTGCGGATCTGCCGCAGCAACCGGGCGCGAGGCGACTTGCTTCGCGCGACCACCTTGCCCCAGATGCTCCTATACAACCCGTCTCGGAGTAGAATCGCCTATCCACTCTGCGATGCGACTGATGATCTGTTAAGGCTGATCATTGGAGTGCATGGATAGTGTGCGGCCGAACGCAGTTCAACGCATCAATCACGCGTCCAGCTTCTCCCGTACGATACCGTCTAAGTACCAGCGCACCTCTTTCGGCCATGGGGCTGTCGGTCGATGTTGGCTCAGGCCTCCCCCGATCCATAACCTTGACCTCCATAGGTAGCGAGGTCTATGAATCATGTTGCGCTGGAATCTGCTTTCCGCCCATTGACCTAACATTTCCGGGGACATGGTAGCCGTGTCGGGGTCTGTTCTTGACAGAAGGTGCGAGAAGTGAGCTCCCATCGCGAATCACCCCAGCATCAGCTTTGAGCTAGACGATGCACACGCCCGGCTAACCGCATGAGCTGCATGAGTCCAGATGGCGCCTTGTATGGCGAGTGATAAGACTGGAAATCTACCGCTCGAGGTTGAACTCCCGCTTCTCGCTTGCGGTATAAAACCACGGCACCCTCTTCGCCTATCGTTGACCACGCCCTCTTCTACGTCTTCGTAGGTCAGTAGCCCCTGCTCTGTATTACTGCATTTACTCATGATACATAGCATGTTCATCTTCAACTCCTTCACTCTGCTGCTTGTGGCTCTGGCGGCTGTCGCTCGAGCACTTCCAGCCCCCGCCAATTCTTATCACGTAGATGGAGACGACGATTACGAAATTCGTATGTCTTGACTGTGCCCTGAGTTTGAATAACTGGCTAACGCTGTCTTATAGTATCTGAAGGCGCTATTGCCGATTGAAGCAACCTCCAGTACCATCGCCAGCCTGGATTCATGCTCGTCTCCGTGAGTGATGCTCGGTTGCGGACAGGCCCTGTGTTGCGCGACTGAGTGACTTTTCTCAGAAGATTGTGCGGGAAGTCATCACGAGTTACTGCTTATGCTGTCAGCACGAAGTTGGAGTGCGCTGTTGTGTGCCGCTCTCGGATCTCCTAGGCCCTTTGGGCTTTACGTCGTAGTCCAACCCTTCCCACTCGGATTCTTATCGCAAAATAGTGAACTCTGAAAGTTTATGTTCTTTCGGGATGAGCATCCCTGGCGCTGAATAAGCAGGAGGTTGGAATAGGCGTCAGGAAGTGGTGTACCACAGTACAAGACTTGATTGCGCTACGAGACTCAACCAGAAGTAATCCCGGGAGGGCGTGGGAAGCAGCGGACCGGTTTCTTCCGAAGATTCCTCGGTGATGCTCATGCCTCTCTTTCTTGCATGTGCGTGAGCGTCATCACCCTACATTTCTTCATCAATCGAACGAACTGAATCTACGAGCGCATATTTCTACGACAGTATGGTCCCAGCAGTTCTTGATCATTCTCACCGAGCCATTCCGAGGAGAAGTGAATTTCAGCAACCGTACAATGGCCGGCCGGGCGATGGTTCGCAGGACTGGAGCGCTTGAATAACATCAGAACGATCTCGGTACGTTGCTCTACGCCCATCGGCCTGCTCCCATGCACTCCAATTCTGGGATCCGGATATGCTTCACGGAGCAATAACCACCGCTTGAACTCCCGAAGGTCTCATTTTCTTGCTCATGCCTTTCCCCATGAGCGGGCTTGCCGTCATCCCGCGGCCAGTGCAGTGCGACAGTGCTAATTGGAGTGCATATTGCAGAAGTGCAGCTTGCAACGTACACCGCCGCCTTGTGTGCGCTATGAGAAGCGCCGGAAGAATCGTACGCACGACTGCTGGGGAAGATATTAGCATCGGTCTTCTTGCGGAGTTGGACACCGTTCTGTGCCCGCAGAGCGCGTGCGACGCTGGTGAGACGGATCAGTTCTAGGAATGTTCGCCATGATTAACCTTCTTTCTTGATAGCCACATCCACGCCGTTCAGTCTTCGTTCGATATGCCCTCTCACGAACCGGTTCGAACGAGTCGCTCGAGTGGCTCGTCCCAACCTCAGTGAGCCAGTTCCCGAACTCAGCATGCACGCGGAGCTATCTGTACTCGAGTTGTAGCCATCATACTAACTGGGAATTCCAGATATCAGAGTCGTCTCTCAATCGCCTGCAGCCGCTTGCCCTCGCACGACGCGTAGTAGCGCAACCCTCTACACTGCCCCGACTCAGCGGACAACCGGCTCCCTCCATGTATTCTTCGCGGGCTCGCGCTGCTTTCGCTGGCTTAGGGGTCCTTGCTTGCCTGGTCTTGGCTATCTTCATGCTCGTGCAGGCCTTCGGCAAGGGTCCTTCTGTTCACGGATGGGCGTTGGATGCGTTAAATATATACGGTGCGTGCCCTTTGACAGAGCGCTGTCCGGGAGCTCAACGACTCTCATTAGCTCCTTCCCTCGGCATCCAGTTTTCTGAACCTGTGGCAATGAGCATCGCAGGATCGCCTCGGTATAATATTCACAGCTCCGATGCCGCAGAGGAATGGCGGCGTCTTCTCCCCGACAGTGGGCATACAGTTGTCGTTGACGATGAGATCTACACTGTAACGCTCTTCCACCAACTCAAATGCTTGGACCTCATCCGCGAAGCATACGCTGGGGGCCCTGAGCCTGTCGCAACACCTATCGTCCGCCATTGCATGAACTACCTGCGTCAGACACTACTCTGCCACCCGAATCTGTCATTGGAGAAGGGCGTGTCGCCCCTTGGGAGTGTAGAGACCCGTTATGATGTAGCATGCCGCGACTGGACACAGGTCTACTCTACGGTGGACGACTTGATCAAGATGTAAGGCATAGGACGGCGGGAGCATTCGCTTGTGAGTATTCGAGAGACCATCCCCTTCATTATACTCATTGGTCGTTAGTCTCTTCTGGGCCGCTGTAGTATAATCCAGTTCACCACTTTGTGCGCGTATTAGGCCCTACTATATTGGGGATGTTCCTTACAAGGCTCCTTCGCGTGCGAGAGAGTGCCTTGTGCTTCTATGTCTCTTGTATGGTTTGTGCCTCTCCATCTGTTGATCAATCATCTCGTCGTGCTACGCGCCCAAAGTGGCGGTGGCGGCGATGTCGTATGTCCTTCATTGTCTAGCCCCGGATAAGTTTGGCATTACTGTGCAGGAAGAAGTGCGGAAATACGGCCAGGGGCCAGAAGAACATGGGCGCAAACATTACGGCTTGTTGTCAAGCTAGTCTCAAGCAATACATATCCAACGGCCGACGGTGTCGTGTAAGGGCCTGCGCCAGGGCCGCGAGAAGTAGAAGACCAGCCTCATGTGGTATCAAGTCGCATTCGGCGCCGACGCGTGGGTGCGAGATCAAGAAGTACTTCAGTCAGCAGTCTTCCAAGCGCGGAACTAGCAGACAAGTTATCATCTCGCCGAAGGGCAGTCTGCAGTGTATAAGTATCAGCTTCTTTCAGGCACATTGTCTCTGACCGCCATCGTCCCTTGGTTCATCGCAGTCCCCGCCACGCAGCGTTATGTCGTTCACACCAGACGAGCCGAGTGAGGTCCTCTTCGCCGAGAAGACCTACCTGCAGGGAACCGTCCTGACTGGCGTATCCTATGGCGCGCTTTTCATGCTGTACTGCATTACCATGCATCTTCTCTGGGATCGGAGGCATCGTCACGCTCCGGGCAACACTTTTTACATGATCTACGCGACGTTCATCCTGATCTTCAATACGCTCAATGTCGCGGGTGATACCTCTTTCGCTCAACTCGCCTTCATCGACAATCGCAACTATCCGGGTGGTCCATCTCAGTATGAGAACGACTTCTACTTTGAGACGCTCAACACGATGTGCAACGTTTCGTACATGCTCGGCAATTGGCTCGCTGATGGGCTCATGGTAAGGCGCACCCTCTTTTCCCGCTTACTGCACTTGCTAAAGCGCTGCCTTGCAGCTCTATCGTATCTGGATTATCTTCAGGGGATCGAAGCAGCCCATGTGGTTGGTCATGGCGCTCCCGTCTCTTCTTTACGCCGGAGCATGGGGTGAGCACCTCTTCGACGTGCGCCGGGAGCTTCAGCTGACAATCGACAGCCATGGGAGTATTACTTCTCATCCAGCTCTCGCGCTCTTCGCCGTGGGGATCCGCGTCGTCCATTAACTGGATTATCCCCTTCTTCTCCATGTCGTTGGCCTTCAACATCATCGTCACGATTGCGATTGTCGCAAGGCTCTATTACTTCCGTCGCTCGATGCTGGCCGCATTCCCCGGTAACGCCCACGGAGACCATTACACGAACATCGCAGCCGTCATGATCGAGTCGTCTGTCATCACTGCGGCAGCGACTCTTCTTTGCCTGGTGCCACTCGTCCGGGGTAACGCCGTGGCCAACGTCTTCCTGCAGCCTCTGGGCGAGATCCAGGTTAGCATCTTGATCTCCTCCCACGTCCGTGTTAACTGACAATTGACCTACTTCAGTCTGTCGCCACGCTTCTCATCATCTACCGCATCGCTATCGGACGTGGATGGTCGACGGAGACAACCGCGACGCTTCTCACCACGGCGCACGACCCCGAGGCGGCGGCTTCTGGCGCGAACGTCGGTGGCCGGGAACGTCATGGCTTGTTCAACAGGCGCGCGACGGTCGCTACGCAGGGTTCGAACATGACGCGCGTCGGCACGTCCACTAATGCGTCGCTCAACCGCGACGAGACGAAGGGAGATTTTGAGGATGATGTGAAGTCATGAGCGCTGATGCGCTGATGCCTTGACGCGCCGATGCACTGAGGTTGTTGTCCAGTTCTGTTAGGGTATTTGATGATCTGGGATGTATGTTTGTCTACGAAATAATCACCGGTTAATGATCACGAAGACGCTTGGAGTGAATGTTGACGGGTAGAGCGCGGGAGGCGCGGCTTTCATTGTTACATGCCAACAGAACGTCTTCATTGCACGCGTTCTCGAAGCTACAAAAGGATACATACAAGTACTGCCGCAGTGGCAAAACCTTCGCGGAAACGGACGCCAAGCCGGCGTGCACTAAACATTGATGAGCAGAGAACTATCTTTGAATCGTCCTTGAATCGTTCTCAAAGACCACTAAGCTCCTTCCCAACGAAGATAGACATGGGGAGCATCATGCCAACCTATCGGTGATTGAGTATCGGATCGTAGCAATACTGCAAAGGTCGACTTACGACAAAGTTGGGAACATCAACCTGTTGAGAAGAACGGAGAGTGAGTTACGCTTCATGAGGGACTTCAGAAGATATGCCTACCGCTTCGTGGATCCGTAGATCGCATGCGACGCTGCACAACATGTACGCATCCATGCGCGACAAACTCTTCTCCGCGCAGAGGAAGTCGACCATGTTGCGCACGGCCTCACGAGTGGCCTTCTCAAAACCTGATAGCCCATATCAGCGGAGGCGTAAAATAGCTGGGACGGTCACGGACTATCTTCAACACCGGTAGTGCAATAGTATTCCTCCTGATCTGCTCCGGGAACACGAGCCGTCTTGAAATGAGGCGTCTTGGTGTACGGCTTGTCCTTGCGGACGGTGAGCCTGAACTTGGTCTTCATATGAGTCTCGATGGCTGTCCCGCAGACCTCTACATCGTGAAGGGATATAAGCGCGCATGAGCAGAACACGGTAAAGACCCACTAACCTCCGTCTCCCTGTGCTGCGTGCCCATCCTGGGGTTCACAGTAATAGTCAGCACAGTAGTCAGAGAACGACGGGAAATCACTGACTCCGCACGAGAATAGAGCGCCTTTGACCTCTACGGGCAAGAAGAGCGTCGAACCGGCGGTTACATGT